GTAACAAGTGCCATGGTATGTGCAGGTGTCACCTTTGGGTTACCCTGTGGGTAATAAAGATCAGGATCCTGAAACAAAATTACGGATACTCTGGCTATTGTTATTGATCTTAGTAACAAACTGTATTTTGTCTCAGAAGTTTCATGTCTTCTGCCAGCATCCAAGAAAGTGTAGCAGGCTAATGTTTTAGCTTGCAAACATAATACAATCTCAGCACTTTCACAGTTCTTGACAAGTGGTATCACCTACTAGCTATGTGACTTTAAGAAATGACTTTGCCTGTCTGAGTTTCAATTTCCAATCTATAAAATGGAGCTAATAATAATGCTGACCTCAGGGAGTTGTTGAGTGGATTGTACGGGACAATGAACATAAGGTGAGCAATACTGATACACAATAAGTACTAATTAAATGTTCACTATTATTGCTGTCATTGATTTTATTATCACAAAATAAGGTGGTATAGTCTAAAATTAAAAAGACACATCTAGAGGACAAAATGTTTTGCCAAACTTGCATCTAATTATAAAAGAGGTCTAATTTGTACTCTTGGGCCCATACTTTATGTAAAATTATAAAAATCACTGTTGGGGACTATAATCACAGCACTTTGTGAGGCTGAGGCAGGTGGATCACTTGAGCCCAGGAGTTTGCAACCAGCTGGGGCAACATGGTAAAAGGCTGTCACTCCAAAAATAAAAATAAAAATTAGCTGAGCATGGTGGCACACACCTGTGATCCTAGCCACTCGAGAGGCTGAGGAGGGAAGATCACTTGTGTGCAGGGGGAGGAGTTTGCAGTGAGTCGTGATCACACCACTGTGCTCCAACCTGGGCAGAGTAAGACTCTGTTTAAAAAAAAAAAAAAAAAAGAAAAGAATAACAGTTGGGAAGAACTGTACATAGAAATCTTATGTTTGCATTGTTTTACTTGCAGTATGACTTATGACTTGAAGCAGATGAATTGAATCTTAGTTCATCAATGCCACAACAAAAGAAGCAGCAAAATTATCACCCTTTTCAACCCACATTATCCCTGTATGTCTATTTTGAAATAAAGCTTGGTAAAAAAAGGCTCTGTGTTATGTAAAACAGTGACCTCAAGTTCCCAGTTTAATTATGGGATCTATTGAAACTATAGTTTTTCTGTTAAAGCTGCAAGCATTAATAACTTTCAAATCCAGGTAAAAATGCTTTGAATTCTTTTAAGTACTTTAAAAATATGAAATGATATGAAAGGTTATTTTAACATTTCTTCTATTTAAATATCTGTGTTTGAGTAGAATTAAGGTATACAGTATAAAAACAAGTACTGAACTAGTGGAATACATGTAACAATAAATTGAATAGTAAATTATCATTTTTATATTTTTTCCTTTGTGCTAAAATTATAATTCATATTACAATGAAAAATAAATCTTGGAAAAGATACCCAAGAAGATAAAAATGCATTCAGTCTTAGAAAGGGCATCTATCTTGTTCTGTTAGAGAAAGTAACAATTATACCTGGCAAGAATGGCTAAATTCTCTAATCATTTAATCTAATTTTGCCTCCTGTTGATACTCCTTTTATTTTCTAGCACAGTACCCTACTTTAGTTTCTGTATAGCACTTATCATTATCTTATTCATTTATATGTTTACTTGCTTATTATTTCCTTTCCGCTGTTGGATATAAGCTAAATATGAAGCTTTATCCTCTTTACTGAAGCATTCCAATCACCTAGAACAGCACCTGGCCCCGATACGGCATTCACTTTTTATTGACTGAAAAATAATAAATCAAGTAATTAAGTTTTTAAAAAGGAAGAGTATGAATTTCACAAAAATTTTGACAAAAAATTCTAGGTATGTGAAAAAATACACATAGTAAATATCTTGTCCTTATGGAAGTTTATCTTTAATAAATCAGTAATATATTTTCATTTAGCAAATGAAATGAGATACATGTAAATATAGCAAATGGACAATTTCCTTTCTCATTTATTTAACTGCTGTTTTCACCCACGAGATTCCTCAAACACAGCCAACAGTATATGCAACATTTAGGGGCTTTTCAATAAACCTCTAGGAGAGAAAAAAAATCAAAGAATGAATAAAGGTGGATTTTTTTTTGGAAATGCTGTTGGCTTTATTTCTTCAGAGGGAGAATCAGAGTTTACATAAAAGATGTCCAAGATATTTATATTTACAAACAGCAAACTCTTTATATCCTTGTACTTCAAACTATATAAATTTATCAACGTCTCAGAATTTCTATCAAACTTCTAAATCATTTGTCAAGCTAAGCATTGCTTCGCAGTCTTCAGGTTCAATGGTAGACACTCTAAGTAAGTGAATACACATAGAATTTAATTTTTCTGATGCCAAGAATGACAAGTTTTCATTTGCCAAATCTAAGTCTCTGCTTTGACATGTTAATTTCATATTGTAATGTGTATCATTATTCTCTTTAATGGAAAGAAAAAAGATAAACTAATAAAAAGATATTAAGCTGTTCCTTCTGTAGAAAGACAAAAATGTTAAATATATTTCAGGTGTGAAAATTTGCAAAATGTTCTCATAACCTTCATACTGTCAAAGCAGTGCTGGACAGATGTGCCTTGCGGTCATTGTGGCTATTAGAGTTGATCTCTGTTGTGATAGGTGGAATGCAAAGAACCACCAATGTCCTTGATATTGTTCTCAAAGTTAGGATTATTAGCAGGAACATCAAGTCGTAGTACAGGAACTGACACAATTTAAAAGGAAACCAAGAACTCTCTCTGTTACATATTTTAGTCCTTCTTGAAAGTGTGTGTGTCGGCCGGGCATGGTGACTCATGCCTGTAATCCCAGCTCTTTGGGAGGCTGAGGCAGGCAGATCCCCTGAGGTCGGGGGTTTCAGTCCAACCTAGACAACATGGTGAAACCCCATCTCTAGTAAAAATACAAAAACAAGTTGGGCGTGGTGGTGCACACCTGCAATCCCAGCTACTCAGGAGGCTGAGGCAGGAGAATCACTTAAACTTCGGAGGCAGAGGTTGCAGTGAGTCGAGATTGCACCACTGCACTGCAGCCTCGGTGACAGAGTGAGACTCTATCAAAAAATAATAATAATCATAATAATAGATGAAAGTGTCTGAGTCAAAAACAAAACAATGTAAATGTTATTTACATAGACAGAATGTGCAATTTCATTGTCCATCTAAAACTGTCAAGACCCTATCATCTGCTATCACATTAAGAGAAAAGTAGGAAGACAGCCTCTGTCACATCTAATTTAAAGTGAAAATCTTAACTTTATTTAGATATTCCTTCAGAATTTTAAATTATGGAGGATTTACATTGCCTTAATCAGTAAATTACAAGAAAGACAAAAACAGGGATGTTTTTATTTTAGATAGAAAGTATACTTTTTATCAGGTTTGATTTAAAGTAAAGTTGTGTTGAATGAAGAATATTCTCATGCTCTCATTTCCTCTAAAAGATTGGAGAGACCTCCATTTACTACCATCCACGCTGTAAATAATTTTAGTCTATCTCTCTGCTTTCATTTTCTCACATCTTCTCATCTCAATCAAGTTCTGATTCATTCTGCACCCAACAACCAGATTGATCCTCCTAAAATATCACTTTGTTCACATTATTCTTTGACTCAAATGCATTTCCTTTTATTCCTTTGGGATTTTTTCCAAACTCCTTCACTTACATTCCAGGCCCTTTATTTTAGCGCCTTTCACTTTCCACTCTCTTCTGACATTATTACCTGCAAAGGAAACCTCCAGTAGCTTTCCATTTAGGTCCTCCACATCCTCTTTCTAGAGATTGTGCTTTTCTTTTTTTCTCATGGAATTTCTGGTTGCAGAAACGTCTCCTCTCTCTAACATTTCTCCATTAAGATTTAGCCCAAATACCATAGCCTGCCCAAGGAGTTCTCTGAGTATACCCACATAAAGATATCTCTTGCTTCCTGTGAATACCCATTACACAAGTATTCTCTATTGCTCATATATATCTTTAAGACAGCTTCAAACTTATTAATTAAATGCTGCAATGCCTTTAAACTTTTTGTGTGCTTGTATCGTCTCTAAAGGTAGACTACAAACCCCTTGAAGGCAGAAGTCATTCCCTAAAATTCCTTTTATCTCCTGAGATATAGCTACCATGATGTCCTTCATAAAATAAGCACACAATTAATGTTCCTCAAATCATGTATTTCTAAAATATTCAAGAAGTAAGCAGACTTTATATATGAGGAAACAGGTCCAGAATCATTTGTTAACATGCCTAAAAATGACTGGCAGCCAGTGAAGATCAGGTTTGATTTATTATTTGCAATATTTTCTACTGATACCAAAGTTAACATTGTTTTGTTACTAGATTACTTGTTCCTAAGCCAAATAATTTATAAAATACATTGATTTTATTAAAATGTACATATATCTGTTTGCATGTATATAAGTTTATATATGTACCTATAAATAAAAATAGGTATAAATGTATTAAGTTTCTCTGGAGATACTGATATTCCAAGGGCAACTCTAGAAAACTTCATTTCAGTGATGTGTAAAGTAAAAAATAAAATGCAAGAATTGTGAGGACAATGTGGACATTGATATTTTTCATGCATTTTGAGTGACATGATCAATAGTCTAATGAAAACCAACTGTTATGAAAGTCTCTGAAATCCTATTAAATTTTGCGTTCTACCATACAGCACTGTAAACATATCAGTGCAAACTGACATTTCCCAGAAGATGGATAATAGTTTAATTTTAATCCTGATAATATTTAGAGTATAGGAGATGACAGCAAGTGCCATTTTATAATGAAAGTTTTAATACACTGGCATATGAAAACAGAGAAACAATGTTACTGAAGACATAACATTAAAAAATATTTTTGAACCAACCAGAAGAACTTGAGTTCTGGTTAAAACCAGTCTGACACACACTGGATTTATCCTTTTAAAGTGCTTTATCTCTGAGTAGTTTGATGTTAATGTCACAGTGTCACTTACCATCTTTCAGGATGGTTTCTCGTTCTGTGCCATCTATCTTCTGCCGGCCAATTAGGAAACTGGTGGTGTCAGCAAAGTAGATGTAATTGGTTTCTGCATGAAAATCTAAAGCACGAGGGTTTACCAGATTTTCTATGGGGATCATGTATTCATCAGCTATCTTGGTATTCAAGTCCATTCCTCTAACAATTCCTGGGCGTCCTTTCCCATAAAAGAGGAACAACTCATTCTTTGGTCCTGCAAAGGAAAGATTACAAATATAAACAACTGATGCTGCTTAATCTTATTTACACTGTATAATGCCACCGTTTAATTAACTGGCACAATTAGCGTTTTTTTAAATTCAATGCTAAAAATTAAACTCTAAAATATGCCAAATGTATCTTGTAGTTTTGATGCAAGAAGGCCAGCTAATTGCATTACTTTAATTAAAACAGAAATTACTTCTGCGAATGGGTTATAGGTAGTTAATTATCCTTTTGTCTGTAACTGTCTGGATAGCAAAAACATGACAGATCATTAGATAACTTGTAACTTGTAAAATAGGCATTTATTAAAACATCCGGCACATTTAATTTTATAATGCATTACAATCTATCTAGCATTTTCTGTCGATACTAACTGTACCATTCATTATATTTCACAATGCTAAAATCTTTAGAAAATTTAAGACACGCCAACCCCAAGTTTGCATCTACGAATTGTCAGAGGCAAACAAAGAATCATATAGTATCACTAACTTGCTTGTGAATATATTACAGTTGCCCGAACACGTGACTTATTCTTTTAGAAATGAAATTAAATACCAGTTATAGCATCCCTTTTTCTTCAAATTTTAATTAGAATGTTAGAGGCTGATGCTGTCTGACAGTAACTCTGATGAACAACACAGGCCTTATCAAAAACAAAAGAAAAATGAAAACCCCAAACAAAAAACTGTCTCCTGAGTTTAAAATGTCAGCATCAAAGTAGCTCTTTGTATAGAGTGAATTCCCTGTTTTGGACTTCTATATAAAAATATACACAAGATTCTCCAATTACCGGGGCATCTTATGCTTGGTTTACTGTATATAATTTTACAGGAAATAATTTTTATATAAAAGGAAAAACATACTGAGGTTTATTAATAAAACTGAAGATACAAAAGACTCAGCTGTATTTGAATAACCACACAATAATTAATATTCATAATAAGGTAAAATAATATTAAAATTTGGAAGATAATAAAAATAAGCAATTATTTATACACCTAAAAATACAAAGTATATTAACATTTACATTTATTTTCTTGTGTTTTTTAAATTAGTGTAATTGAATATTAAATTTATATAAAAGAATGTCGATAACTTTAAAAAAAAATTTACTTAAAGTTCTGTGCAGAGTATGCGGGTTTGTTACATAGATAGTATCCATGTGCCATGGTGGTTTGCTGCACCCATCAACCGGTCATCTAGGTTTTAAGTCCCACATGCAACTGGCATTTGTCCTAATGCTCTCCCTCCCCTTGCCCCTCATCCCTGACAGGCCCCGTTGTGTGTTGTTCCGCTCCCTGTGTCTATGTGTTCTCGTTGTTCAACTCCCACTTATAAGTGAGAACGTGCAGGGTTTGGTTACACCTTACACCTTATGCAAAAATTAACTCAAGATGGATTAAAGACTTAAATGTAAACCAAAACCATAAAAATCCTAGAAGAAAAACTAGGGAATACCATTCATGACATAGGCATGGGCAACGACTTCATGACTAAAACACCAACAGGAATTGCAACAAAAGCCAAAGTTGACAAATGGGATCCAACTTAACCAAAGAGCTTCTGCACAGCAAAAGTTACTAGCATCAGAGTGAAGGGGCAACCTACAGAATGGGAGAAAAGTTTTGCAATCTACCCATTTGACAAAGGACTAATAATGAGAATCTACAAGGAACTTAAACACATTCACAAGAAAAAAAAAAAAATCAAAAAGTAGGCAAGGGATATGAACAGACACTTCTCAAAATAAGACATTTATATGGCCAACAAACACGAATAAAAGCTCAACATCACTGGTCACTAGAGAAATGCAAATCAAAACCACAATGGGATACCATTTCACACCAGTCAAAATGGCAATGATTAAAGTCAGGAAACAACAGTTGCTGGCAAGGTTGTGGAGAAATAGAAAAGCTTTTACACTGTTGGTGGGAATGTAAATTAGTTCAACCATTCTGAAAATAGTTCAACCTTTCTGAATCGCCACAGTGTGGCTATTCCTCAAGCATATAGAATCAGAAATACCGTTTTACTCAGCAATCCCATAACTGGGTATATACCCAAAGGATTATAAATCATTGTACTATAAAGATACATGCACATGTATGTTTACTGTAGCACTATTTAAATAGCAAAGACCTGGAACCAACACAAATGCCCATGAATGAGAGACTGGATAAAGAAAATGTGGCACATACACACCATGGAATACTATGCAGCCATAAAAAAGAATGAGATCATGTCCTTTGCAGGGATATGGATGAAGCTGGAAGCCATCATTCTCAGCAAACTAGTACAGGAACTGATAACATATTTTAATATATAAATAATAAAAATAAAACAAATTCCAGGTACCTAGCACAAACGTGAAGAATATTTCCAGTACACTGGAAGACATAAATGTGCCCAAACTCACTCTCCTCCAACTCAGAAAGAGTCGATATCCTGATTGTTGTGTTTATTATGTATTTTTAAAAGAGTTTTAACACATACGTGGTATATTTCCCAGCAGCAGATTGTTTAATTCTGCATGTTTGAATTGCATGTGTGAATCTTGTGATTAAACTTATTTTTTATTATACTCTTGATATTCATCCATTCTTCTTGTAATCAGAGTTTACTCATTTTCACTGCTGTATAACATTCCTTTGTATGACTATTTCATATTTAATGTATGTAGGTACTTTTTAAATGTATATTTACTTATATCAAAGTAGACACTCAATTTTATATTCTGCTCTTATTAATTTTAGAATCAAGATTATTATCTATATTGAACCATTATCTTAAGCCAAGCCTTGTTTCTATTTGACATATAATAATTTACCAACTAATTTTCCAAATAGTTTTCTGTTTTCATCATAATCATGATATAAGCATTTTTTTTTTTTCAATTTAGCATTTCACACATTTTCTTAGATGAAATTACGGAGCAAAGTACATTAACATCCTTGTCTTCATTGCCCTCATAGCCTTGCAGTGTCTACCTGATGTCAAGGGCATTTTCTTTTAAAATAATACTTTATGTTATTTTAAAGTATATTGATACATTTGAAAATCATTAACATTTTAAAGTATTTTCTATCCACATTAGATACATATATACTTCTATATTTTTCAAAAATTGGGATATTGTATATAAATTCTTTTCACTGTGATGACTTTTTGTCAAGCCATTAAAAAGTCTTCAAAAACATTTCTTTCAATGGCAGCATAAGATTCCTTACTAGAGAAGTAACATAATATAGTCAGCTGCTTACCTATTGTTGGACAGCTATATTGTTTCTGAGTTGCTGTTATTATAAATACATTTAATTTCCTTAATCAAAAGTAAAGAATTATAACTTGTTTAATTATGTTGTCAGTTTTATGATCATTATACTTATTAGCAAATGTCTTACCAATTGTGATATCAATTTCTAATTATATTAGCAATACATAGGAATCCTGGTTTTATAGCACCCATTTTGCTAAAATCTCAGCTCATTGCAACCTCTGCCTCCTGGGCTTAAGCTATCCTCCTACTTCAGCCTCTGAAGTAGCTGGGACTACAGGAGTGTGCCACCATGCCTGTCTAACGTTTATAGATTTTTAGAGACTAGGTTTTGCAATGTTGCCCAGGCTCTTATTGAAATCCTGCGCTCAAGTGATGCATCTGCCTCAGCCTCCCAAAGTGCTGAAATCACAGGCCTCTGCCACAACACTCGCCCTTGGTTTTACTTCTAATGGATGTCTTAATTGGTAATTGGTAAACCTAGAACTTCATTAATGTAATATGTGTGATTGTTTGTGTGTGTATATAGGTATGTATGTTTTAAATAAGAATAGTAATGATTTTCCCCATTATTTTCATTGGTCATTTCCTAGGTATTCTTTAATACCTACTTAAGTTTCTTCTAGTGTGTCTTCTTGTACTATAGACAATTGAATACTAAAAAATACATTTCACAGACACTTATATAGCCAAAGGTAGTGGATTTTATTTGACTACCTAAAATGAGATATGCTAGCTCAAGTTTAGAACATGAAAGTGAGGCAAAGGTCCCCTTTTTGCCGCCTCTGATGGAGACATTGAATTTTTCCACAGCAGGCTTCTTCCATTCCATATCAAGACGTGAGGAACAGGGTGTTTCTCCTTTCCTCCTCTTTTTTATTTTTTTCCCGTTAGGGGCTATCAGATGTGACTTAACTCTGCATCTGATAGTTTTGGTGCCAGCTTTCTAATCCCTGGATCTCAGCTAAATGGTATGTTTTTAAAGTTAACATTTTCATTTATGACTTCCTGATGCTCTAGCTTCTGAGTATGGTAGATGTTCCAGCTTTCAGCTGGAATGTTTGGGGGGGATGTTCCAAAGACCCAGTAGTCTAGAAGCTACTGGTCCAGGTTTTTAAATGATTTTGTAGGCACCTATTTGCATTAAATCTCTTATTGCTCCAAATAGCTGGAATTATTTCTGATGAGTATTAATGTACTCCAGGTGATATACTACATTAGAGATGATCGAATAATATGCAATTCTGATCTTACATTTTTCCTCCAATGTGTGTATGTATGTATGCACATATGCTTGTGTGTATATATATGTGTGTGTGTGTGTAATTATATCTCCCAAGTGGCATACAGATCAATTTTAAAATCACACACTACACATACACACATGCACCCACGCACAAAACTTCTTTTATCGTGAGGCTTCAAACTCAGTGCCCTCAATTATCCAGAAGGCCTAGGAACATGAGACCTGTTACCTTCACACTTCCAGTACTTAACACAAAATCAGGAATACAAATAAAAAATGTAAACAAAGTACAAAAATACATACATATTAACATAGTTTAGCCTCTTTGATTCTTCATTTTAAACTATATATTCTATTAGTAGCTCTAACCATTTAGACTTAAAATTCTAACACATTTAGAGATCTAATTTCACAGTCCTCAGTAAGCACATGACCAGAGAGTGGAAGAGATGACAGGATTGTGACCAGAGAGAGAGGACTGACAGAAATAAAAAGCTGTCACTATGACAAAGGTACAGACAAACTAGACACTGTAAAAAGCAGTCATCATAAAATTAAAAATAATGGGGTCTGGGGAACATTTAAAGACCAACAGTCCCCAGTAGGATCATTTCAATCAGGACCATTCTACTATACCTGAATATCAAGACCCCAGGAAAAGACCTTAACTAATTATTGTATAAAATATTAAGTTGCGAGAGTAATTTTTAAAATCCTTATTACCATATTTAAATTAAAATAAATTATTCTGGTCTATTTAAAAAATAAACAGAGATATATCTAAGAGATTAGAAAACTTTTTGATAAAATCATTAAAATTTTTTTGATAAAATTGTTACATGTTTGATCTCTAATTAGCATAGCTTCAGTTACCTGAAAAATTAAATCATGAAAAATTAAATCATGAAGTGACTTCACTCCCCAGTGATGGTAGATAAAATGAAGCCTGTCTATACGTGGATTTCTGTCAAAACAAGCAACACACCTATTATGAGGAGTAGCATATTGTTTCAAATAGGAGGAAATCTTATCAACTCATCATTCCAGCTCATTAGCTCACATACATCCTTTAGGGAATTAAGGGAAGCATCTTCCTAAAAATCTTCCCCAACATATGTTTCCCTAAAAATCAATAAATTTAGTGACTCTACAGCCTGGTTAGTTTCTAATTCACATTATCATAACAGAAAAATACTTATTTTGAGAAAAATGGACAGTATATATTTGCAGGCAAACTTCTCCTGTTGAAGTCTCATGTTATGACTGATGTTGATGCTGCTAATTAATACTTAAAATCCTATTATAAGGGGGGTAGCTGCTGGCAAAATGTTTTATTTTAACAACATACTTTTGCATGACCTGCCATCGCTTCCCAAGTTGAAGCCAGTCCTGCAGCGACAGGTCCGAGTTTTGTAACTGCTGCTGAGTAGACAGATGTGTGAACAGCCCCCTGGCATTCCATATGGATCGACTTCACATGCATGGCTTCTGACTACAACAAATAAAAAACAACATGCGTGAAATTCAGGTTCAAAGATAAGATAACTATGTGCATCAGTATGCCAAAATTTCTATAGTGTAAAAACAGGGAATCTTAGCAAAATTTTGTATACTCAACTATTTAGCACCATAATCAAATGCAAAAGAGTTAAAACCCATAGAAGAAGAGATTGGGATTGAACAAAATCCTCCTAAGTGGGCATTTAAAAAAAACAATTCTAAGAAATAAAATGCATTCATATTAATTTAAACTCTTCACCGGTGAGCAAAATAAAAGTAACATGAATTTTTGGTACATGCGTCTCATCCTTTTTTAAAATACTAATTTCTAAAATGAATACAAAGATCCATAAAAATAATTCCAGGTTAGGTAGTTAGGCGGAGAAAGGATTTACTTTGAAATGATTCATCATATAGGCAACTAAACTAGAAGAAATGAGATTCTGTGATTGTACTCTGTTGAGAAGTGCTGTGGCAAAATATTTTTAAAATTTTTAAGTCTATTGTCATTTTGAGACTCTTACCACAAAATAAAATATGTATGTGTGTATGTGTGTGTGTGTGTGTGTGTGTGAAGTTGTCAAACGGTGGAGGCTGAGTGTATGTACAGAAATTGAGGAGTAGAAGAATATTTTATGAGTATAAAATCTAGTAAACTAAAAAGGTAAGAAAAGTATTATATGGAGAGGATGAGAAAAGAAAGACGGATCAAAGTGAAAAGAAATAATAGGAATAATGTAAGATTTTATGTATTACTGTAATTATGTTTGTTTTTTTTCAAACAAAGAGATGTTTAATTAATGCTGATACAGTATTTTTTTCATTTAAAATGAGATTCATTTAAAAATCATTTCATTAAATGATTTCATAAAATCATTTAAAATAAAAAAAAAAAATCCTTTGTGCCTTTGAGGTTCCTTTTAAGCTACATGCCTGTATTATCTATTTAAAGGATAACTTTTTAAAAATAAAAATAAAATAATAATTTAACAACTGTACACACAGGGACAAGCCATAAGCTGCACCAACTGGATCCTAGATCCTCTTTCCCCAAGGGCAGCCCATTCTTGGTTCTTAATTATGTTTCTTTTAGATCACCCACTTGTTTGAAATGGTGATGAATACCATGGCAATATTCTCTTCATAATAAAACTACTATGCTTCTAATAATTATGCCTATTCTCTTTGTATTATTCGTTCTCTAAGTGGGAATATAAGTGAAATGTAATTTTAACTATTTTTTCCCTGCCGAGTGTTATTTTTATTTTCTAAACTCTCTCCACTTATATAATAGATCACATCTCCTCTCAACTAATCACCAACTCTCTACTTTCTCACTCTCATCAACACTTTTGCTTTTTCCATTGGATCATGTCCATCAACATGCAAATGTACCATTATTGCTACATCTAATAAAGAAATATTTTAACCCAAATCCCCACAACGATCCTTCCTTCAACTAGCTCTCCATTTCTCTCCTCTAGCTTACATCCACACCATGCAAAGCTACAATGATCATTTTCTATAATTATTTTCCTTCCTCTCTCAAACTCATTCTACTCATGTATTCACTTTATCCTGAAACTGCCCTTATCAGATCCCAGTGAGCTTCGTGCTGCTAAATCCAATGGTCAATTGGATTTAAGAAACTTCATCTCAGTCTCCTCTTTTGGTTTTTCCTATTCTTTGTGACATATTGCTGGAGCATACCAATGTACATTGCTTGGAATGCTTATTTCTACATTTGTATTTACTGCCTTCACGTTCACATCCATAGTCATGGCTTTAAATGTCACCTATCTGCCAATGACTCCCAAATTGGTATCTCGAGCCTGGACTTCCCCCCTTCAACTCCAGAATTGTATATTTAAATATTTTCACTTTAATTTATAATAAACATTTAAAGTAACTCATGAAAATTACATTTACTATCTTTGTCCTAAATTCACTCCAAGCTTAGTTTTCCCATCTAAAAAATAACTAAATTATTCCAACTGCTCTAGCTAGACCGTTAGCATTATCCTTGATTCTCTTTTTATTTATACTCCACATCTAATGTATCAGAAAATCCTATTGGCTCTATATTTGCCTATATTCTGAATTTCCCTATTCTCCCCACTTTCACTGCTGCCATCTTGATCCAATCCACCATCCTCTGTAACCTCCCACCCTTCTTCTCCCCACTACCTATTATAAACAGAGTAGCCATATTGGTTCTTTTTTTTTTTTTTTCCTTTTGAGACGGAGTCTCGCTCTGTCGCCCAGGCTGGAGTGCAGTGGCCGGATCTCAGCCCTCACGCCTCCACCTCCGGGTTCAACGCCATTCTCCTGCCTCGGCCTTCGAGTAGCTGGGACTACAGGTGCCCGCCACCACACGCCCGCCTAATTTTTTGGATTTTCAGTAGAGACGGGGTTTCATGTGTTAGGCCACCATGGTCTTGATCTCCTGACCTCCTGATTCCCCCCGTCTCAGCCTCCCAAGTGCTGAAGATTAACAGATGTGCCCACCGCGCCCGGGCCGCATATTGGTTCTTTAAAAATGTAAGTATACCATGAGATTTTTCTGTTTAATGCTTTCTAAGGACTTCCCATCTCACTAAAAGTAAAGCAAAGTTTTTTTTTTTTTATAATAGTCTACAGAGCCCTACTTGTTATGATCCTCCTTTGTTTCTCCAGCCTCATTTCCTACTTCTCTTTTCCTCATTCATTCTGCTTTAGACACACAGGTATTCTTGCCACTCCCTGAACAGTCTAGACATGTTCTTTCCTCATGGCTTTTGTGCTTGCTCATCTCACCACCTGCAATGTTTTTGCCCAGATATCTCTGGTATGGTTTGGCTGTGTCCCCACCCAAATCTCATCTTGAATTCCCATGTGTTGTGGGAGGGACCCAGTAGGAGGTAATGGAATCATGGACGCAAGTCTTTCCCATGCTGTTCTTGTGATAGCAAATAAGTCTCCTGAGATCTGATGGTTTTAAAAAGTGGGGTTTCCTCAAGACCATCTTGGCTAACATGGTGAAACCCCGTCTCCACTAAAAAAATACAAAAAACTAGCCGGGCGAGGTGGCGGGCGCCTGTAGTCCCAGCTACTCCAGAGGCTGAGGCCGGAGAATGGCGTGAACTCGGGAGGCGGAGCTTGCAGTGAGCTGAGATCCGGCCACTGCACTCCATCCAGCCTGGGCGACAGAGCAAGACTCCGTCTCAAAAAAAAAAAAAAAAAAAAAGTGGGGTTTCCCTGCACAAGCCACAAGCTCTCTGCCTGCTGCCATCCACATAAGATGGGACTTGCTCCTCCTTGCCTTCTGCCATGATTGTGAGGCTTCCCCAGTCATGTGGAACTGTAAGTCCAATTAAACCTCTTTCTTTTGTAAATTGTCCAGTCTTGAGTATGTCTTTATCAGCAATGTGAAAATGGACTAATACAATCCCCATGCCTTTCTCCTTCAAATACCTCAAGTCATCATTTAATGTCATCTTTTCAATGGAACTTCTTTTGACTATTCCATATAAAATTGAAGACTGCTCCCATTTCTAACACTCTTTATCCTCCTTACCTTCTTTATTTTCTCTATAGCACTTATTATCTTCTAATATAATACATAATTTACTTAGTTATTCTGTATTATAGCTTCTCCGCTGGAGTGCAAACTCATAAAGGCAAGACTGTTCTGTCTGTTTTATTCACTTCTGTATTCACAGTATACATAGAATAGTTCCTGGAACATAGTAGGTCGTCCATGAAAAATTAATGAATGAATAAATCCTAATATTAAACTCTAAGAAGGCTATCTACAGAATTTTATATTTGAATCTGTTCTAAACATATTTGTGACAATGCACAGCCATGATTAGATATATGTTAATGCTTAGTTAATTCTAGGCTAGTTTTGATTTGAAATATAAGTATAGAATATAATAAAAAATTTGCTGGTGGTTTTTGATATTTTCTTATTTTATATATGACTGAACCTAAATTGTATTGATGAACAGCATCACTAATCTCCTGTAAAAAACAACTGGTTTGTTTTTCTGAGAAAAACTGCAGCCTTCTCATTGAAAATTACTTTTTAATGAATATATGTTAAAGAACAATTGGAATGTAAAGTTAGGAGAGCCCAATGACTATAGTAAACACTGGACAGATACTGCAAGGCAGTCACCTGATTTTAAATTTGTCTACCAAAATGATATTTAAAAAATTTTAAAAAATAACCTTAGCATCTGAGTTTCCTGTCTATATACATCACGACTGAAAGCCCCTTCCTGAATCTAAATCTTGCTATCATTTCAATTCTATTGTAGAAGTGATTCACTAGGAACTGAACAATTTGTCATTTAGACTTGTGACGGGAGCTCTATCCCACCTAACAAGCAGACATGCCCACTTTCGCTGTCAAAGCAGAGAATTTATGACTCACTCACTTCAACACCATACAAAAGCACAAGGACTATATCCCCATTCAGTCTACCATTAGGAAGGTTAGAAAGAAGCCTTCCCACTTACCTGTCGGTTGAGTTCTTTTCTGATAAATTCGGATTCCCCGAGCATTCTCCATTTTAATTAATGAGTGAATATCAGTGCCATTAAATCGGTTTATCCTTATGATATTGTAGGTATCAGAATTGGTTGCATACAAATAATCTTCGAACACAGTTATACCATAAAGATGTCTGACCTATAACGAGGGGAAAACATAACTATGATTTTTAATTATGTAGTTTTCACTTTGAAAGAAAAGCTGATTGCTATTTACTAGTATGGGAAATGGCTACAGCAGGAGAACCGCAAGGATGTTATTTACTTTTTCTCAAGGAGTTCAACATTTCACTGATTAAAACTTATTTTTGCCAGGTGCAGTGGCTCACTCCTGTAATCCCAGCACTTTGGGAGGCTGAGGCGGGCGGATCACAAGGCCAGGAGATCCAGACCACCCTGGCTAACACGGTGAAACCCCGTCTCTACTAAAAATACAAAAAATTAGCTGGGCATGGTGGCGGGCGCCTGTAGTCCCAGCTACTCGGGAGGCTGAGGCAGGAGAATGGTGTGAACCTGGGAGGCGGAGCTTGCAGTGAGCGGAGATCCGGCCACTACACTCCAGGCTGGGCGACAGAGGGCGACTCCGTCTCAAAAAAAAAAAAAAAAAAAAAAGAAAAGAAAACATTATGTAGTAGTGTTTAAAACAGTTCCACATGTAGAGAGAGAATTTTATTCATGTGTCACTAAGAAAGCATATTTAGTAGTTATTTTTCAAAGGCTTCTGAGAGTAACACTTTCAAGCACATTCAATAATATTCCTTTGACACTGTTATATATAATTTGAGATATTTTAAGGGCTACTTGTTTATACAATAATGGATATGTAGAAGCTGCAAAAACATAGCTCTGCCTGTGAAACGACTAATGAGAAAGCACCTCTGAAGATTTGTTTTATAAAGTCAAAATCCAATTTTTTTGTCCTAAGCTATGTTTAGACTAGCACTTGCTCCAGCACTGAAAGTAATATATAAAGAAATCACATATTTGCAATCATTGTAAATAAATGTCAACATTTCACTCAGAAATAGCATTATTTCTAAAGCCAATTTATAATAGGAATATAACTTTCTTTTGAGAATTACGATGTTTATTGCTATTCATATTCTTAGTTAACAGTCCAGCTCTTCTCTTTGGCAAAGGTCTTGGGGTTTATGGGGAAGAATGGACATCTTGAACTTAGAAAGTTTTCCCCTGGAGCAAAAGGAAGAATACATGTACTGATTTTCTGATAAAAAGGCACATGCTAGGCACGTTGCCTTTGGCTACTCCTTTACTTAATTTAAAATGGTTCTGTTCCAGGGTATAGTGAAGTTGCCAATTGACTTGCTGCAGGGATTTTGTTGAAAAAGCATCTGTCACTACTTTTGGCATTACATTGCACACTTATAATACATACATTTGCAGTTAAGAGAATTTGAAAAAGTACGTGTGGTTTGATTATAAAAATACTTATAGAACAAAAATCACAAAATGTTCTATTTTAACCAGAAAATCTTGCCAGTTCTGTAGTTTAAACAAAAACATTTGATTTATCTTTCTAGCATATATGACTCATTAGTTCTATTTTTGGTCTTCTTGTATGAGATGTGACTAAAAGAAGACTGGCTTTACATGATGTTTTTGGGTTTTATCTCATTTCTTCATGCTTAGTTTGGACATAAAATATGAGAATTACTAGAGAGAACTATTCCACGTTATAGCCCAAATAGTTCTTTTCTATGTACATGCTATTCCACAGTATGGGCATGTGTTGTACTTATGTGTGGGTGTAGTCAAGTGTGTATTTACTAATATCATTTTCCACCTAGCTGACATCAAATGTACTAAAAATGTCTATGGCCAAATTTTGACTTGGATAATACTTTGTCCTACAAAAATTATAAGCAAGCTCAAGATTCTTCCCTTGCCATTAGTCTCATGCATGTTTTGCTCAAAGTTTGGGGTCATTAACCAGGAAGCCTGTAGTGATGGGATATCAACATTGTTGTCTACATGACTGCCAATTCATAACCCAGGAGAAAAAGCCTGCCACATAAGAGGCAATTGGTCAAGGTGGAAAATATGTTCAGCCAGTAAAGGTAAAATTCACTCACTATGTCCCTATCTTCCTGCAGAAAATACTATTTCCCCTAAAATAAACACCTCTGCTAATTATCCCCTAGGCAGAGGTAGGAGAAGCCCGGAGCAGTAGATAAACCATTCTGCCTTCAGCCCCAGTACTTCAAAAACTGTATCTATGTTGGATTATTTAGTGGCAGACTTAGCATATGTTTAAGGAACAAGCAAAATACAGGCAACAGACATGGGGAAAAAAAGAATAATTAAACACTTCAGGTTTTCAAAACTTTTTAAAGTAATTTAAAGTAATTGAAAAAAATTATTTGAACTCCCTATTTTCATAACAAGGTTTAACTTTTTAATTGCAAATAAGTAAAGAGAAGGGCCATGATAATCCTCTCAGAGGTCAGGTCCTCTAAGGTTGTAACTAAGAACTTTGAAAGGAATCAAGATTTTGGGGGCAATTGAAGGTGAGAGAGAAAGCACTGGCCCACCTTTAACATTGAACAGGTTTCCCCCTAACCCCAAACAGATTAGTGCATCTCTTTATCTGTCAAGGAAGGAGAAAGGATTTCATTTTCAAAGCTGATTAGAAAGTAAAAGTAACTTTAAAGGATAATCACAGAATATACCTGTCTTGCATTGCAAAAGAATCCAAAGAGATTCACATTTTCAGCTCCATAGACTAAGAATCTCACATAAAATAAGTGCAATCAGTGAGATAGAATCCGATTTTTAAATGTATTATAGTAAATAAGGCTGATTTCTACTTAGAGATCTCTTTTAGGCATTCACTGAGCATTGTTTGCAAAACGTAATTCAGCAAAATAAAAAGTAACACATTTAGGAAGAATTTTGACCTTCGTGACTTTCACAGAATTCTCTTTTTAGGAAGTACTTGAACACATCAGAAGTCAAAATTTAATCAAACCAATTAAAATAATAAAGGTACTTTTGGGAACAGGCATTTGCTTTTGTTAGAAAAATATCTCCAATGCCACGGGGGACAGATGATAGTTCAGCTCCTCATGAATGAACTACTTAAATTAGTTTTTAGCAAATAGGCCATAAAATCGGATCTATTTTAATACTTTTATTTTTTACTAATATAGCATTTTTGTCTTTGTGTTTGTTTACTTGTTTATCTGTTTTTAATAGAAGGGAGAAAGAGTAAGAGAGGCATCTCCAATTTTGTGGAAATATCACAATATCACTGTGAAAAGAACATTCTCCAATATAGGAAATATACTGTAACTTTTATGACTCATTGCAGCTCGACTTCACAAGAAATTTTCAATATTGCAAATGTTGGTTTCCTTTTTGTATTATTTCTTTCATTGTATTACCCTAGGAGCATTTTCTAACAAAATTGTACTTACTTGTCTGCCTTGAATGATAGCATGTCTATTTTTTCCTTGATAGTCCACTACTCCCACATAGTCCAAGTAAAGATCTACCCAGTAAACCAATTTGTTGACTAGGTCTAGTGCCAGTGCAGCTGGCTGCTCTGTCTTTGAATCAATTATCCTTGTTCTGTTCATCCCATCCATGTCACATCTCTCCACTTTGGCGACATTCCCGTAGTCAGTAAAGAAAAGTTTTCTGTTGAAAGAAAACTAAATGTTAAAGCGGAGGGTGGGGGAGGGAAGCACATTTGATGGAGCCATCTGTAAAAAAGAGAACTTTTTCTTCTAATTTATTTCAGTGATTACATCTGTTAGCTTCCCATAACCATTTCCATATAATATCACTCATAAACAGAGAAATCTGCTAATGAATATTGCAGGGCATAAGGGAGCAGGTTAACCAACAACTGTAAAATTTCCCCAAAACGAATGATTATAGTGGGTTTATTTTTGTATTAGGAGAAATGTTTCTTTAAGCCTCATAGAGCTGATGGACATCGACCACATTCAGTGTAAGCTTCAGAAGTGAGCCAAGTCACCAGGCCAGGGCATGTGAGCTATCAGCCTTTATCTTCAACCTGCCTTTCAAATTGCCTGGTAATGTTTGTCTCCTATAAAAGTTATTATGCAGAGCTCAATGATGCTGTGAGTGGTGGAGAATAGCAAACCTGGAATGGAATTAAGCAGAGGGAAAAGCAAATGTGCTGTTTGTAGCAACAGAAATAAAACATAAATAATCAATTTCCCACCCAAAAGTATCCCTAATTCTCCCAAATATTCCCAAATCACAAAATTGTATTTAAGAAGTATAGGTCATTTCTTCTCATTTTTTCTTAGTATTTATTTTGGAGAAAAGGCTGAAAAGCAATGTTGACCTCTGAGACAACAAATTCTTTCATGCAGCGCTAATGGTGTCTGTCAAAGTTTAAAATGTAACTCCAACACCTCAGTGTCTAATATTTGATTAGTATTCACTATGTTTAGTAAACACAAATCAATTTTAATTAACCTGACAATATTTAACAAGATTACCCATTCATGAGACTAAATTACATTTGTAAATAGAAGACCATCTTGCCTTGACTTAAATATAATCTCAAGAATAATCCGATTTACAGTGACTGAGCAAAATTAAGATTACCTAGAGTATAAAATATTTCATTTTACAAACGTGGTGAATTAGTTTTTAGTTACTTTTCTCAACATACTTACATTATCTAACAGTATGGGCTATCTTTCAAGCTTAAACATGTTATTTAAACTTTAATTTTAATTTAGCTCTCTCTGCTGTGGGAGACACTAATTTTTAAACATTAGTGCATACTATTGGTAATAGTACAAGCTAGATTTTATTATAAGTATATTTTCCCCAAATGTTCTTGAAAGATCAGTTTATCATAAGTTAAAATTAATTTTTTCAAGTTCTATCTATTTAGGTGAAGATCTTTCGATTCTAGTGAAAAATAAATAAAAGAGCACATCCTGCAGTTTCATTGTCATGCTAAACGATCAAATCACTGCTTGGCATGCACACGTTCCCTCTCCCCCTCCATCTCTCTCTCTCCCTCTCTCTCTCTCTCTATCTCTCCCTGCTTCCATCCTGCATCTCTGCTTTCTTCACTTATAAATCAATTTGTTCATAGCTATTCTGTTTCTATAAGGAGTACCCAGTTTCACTCTTGTTTACTGTAGAACAGTGTTCATTATTTTTGCTACATGAAACTTTTTCTCATAATGCCTCTCCTTTTATATATATATTTTTTCTCACTAGTTCATTTCACAGCGGTGAAGTTGGTGTGCAGGTGGTTTGACTTTGGGCATGGAGAAATTAAGGTTCTGGCTATCATGTGACATGTAGAGACTACGTTTAGATAGCATTATGAAGCAGGCAATTGCAACTGTTTACATAGTACTTAACAACTGGAAAGGTGAGTCTGAAGAGGAAGCCTTCTCTAAAGTCATCTTGAGATGACTTAATTGAATGAGATCTCCCGACCCCTGAAAAAAAAAGGGGAGTCTCAAGACAATCTTGGAGGTATGCTATTAGAGAAATAAGAGTAAAGGAGGTCAGAAGTTAACGGTAACACAGATGTTCATAGACATCTAAAAGAGAAAATTTTCAGAATAAAAAAATTGAGTGGCTGACTGGGTCAATCACTTTACAAAGCAAAAAAAGAAGAATATAGATTAAGAAAATGTCACTGAATCTGATATTCAGTAAAATACTAGTAATTTTTGCCACTTGTGTTTGGGAAGTTTAGTTATGGAGGAAGAATATAAAGCAGGTGATGATGAAGGAGTTCAGAAAATGTAAGTTATTCTTTCAAGAAATTTTTCATTGATTTTGACCTTCTCTTGCAAGAATGATGCAATTGATTATCATATTTTTTTCTAAATCATGATAAAACTGATTGAGATAACTCTCTAAGTTTCTGCCAAGTATGAAAAAAAAACCACATGTAAATATATAACTGATCAAAATTGAACCTTCTCAGACTTCCGATTCCTGACTATGATGAGCTCTATTCACTCTTAATTGAAATGCAAAAAATCAAAGAGTTCTAAAGAATAATAGCAACATGACCATAAAGTCACTACTATTGAGTACCTATAGTCACATGATGATATAAATGTTTATTTGTGTGCTTGTTTTTAGCAGTGTTTGATTTTAGCTTAAAATTTCCTGTTACAGAGAAAGGTTTCATTCCCAGGGCATTCTTTAGTGGAGGCATGGCTGTATTATAATTGGTAAACACAAGCTAAGGTTTTTAAATATTTAAAATTCAACTATGTCATTTGTGATATAAATGTTGTTGGGTTAAAAATCACTCTCTTCTTTTCTATAAAATATTTTTCCAAATCATAGACAAGTAAATGGTGCTCTGCAAACTCCATGATCCCGTGAATACTTATGAGAGACAAAAGTACCAGATAATTTGTATTTTACAGATGAAACAGGTTCAAAGCCTTTATGACATCCTTGCCAGAGGCATAAATGTCACATATTTTTGAAAAACTTGTTATTTGGAATTTCAAACTTACACAAAATTTTTAATTTTGAGGAATAGTAGAATGAATGCCTATACCCATCACCTAGATTTGCCAGTTGTTTACATTTCATTCTGTTGGCCATTTTACATACTCATTGAGCCACTTCAGAGTAAACTCTAGACATCATGACTCTTTATTCCTAAACACTTCAGCATCCATCTCTTAAGAAGGTTAAGAAAGACAAGGACATTATCTTGCATAACCACAGTATATCTCTCATAATCAATACCTTTAGCAATGTGTACAATGTATAGTCCTTATTCAAATTTGCCTTTTGACAGATAATGTTCTTTATAGAAAAAATTTCTGATTCAAAATCTAATTCAACATCATGCATTGTATTTAACCATCTTTTCCTCTCAACTCCTTTAATGTTGAGCAGTTCTACGGCTTTGCTTTGTTGTTCATGATGTTAGTATTTCCAAAGAGTAGATAGGAGTTGTTTTGAAGAATATTCCAATTTGCGATCTGTCTGATTTTTGTCATGTCATAATTAGGTTATATTATGCCTTTTGAACCAAAATGCAATGATTTTGCACTTTATTGTTACTACCGCTAGGGCTTAGAAACAGTGGGAAAGCCTATGACCCACCCCCAAAACTACACAAAAAAGAATTACAATGGTGGTTTGGAATCCCATTCATTCCACCATATTCGATGTTTTCCGAACACTTAACTCTCCTAACTTCCAGGGTCCTACTCTCTTTTTCAGCATGTCTTCCCACCAGGAACTAAGGGCTCCCAGTTTAGCACTCTCCCTGGAAAACTCATGGTAGATTGTGGAGATCAGTCCCAATTCAGCCCTATACCCCATTCCCTTTAGGATAGCAGTATTAATACATTTTTTTTAAATCTCTCTTTGTTCTTACCTGTGTTATCAACTTTTTTTTTATTATGCAGCAAAAAAGGACATTGTTGTTGTCTTGTTCTACATTTATTTTTAAATATCATTCTAGTTTCCACTAACAAAAATTAATATTAAAAGAAACCAAAATTCCAACAACTGTCTCTATTTCTAAGATGTTTAACTATTAGCTCACAAAAGAAAACATTTCTTTCAAATTTCCAATTATTCATCCCATTTTCTGAATTATGAATCCCATAAGCTGAATTATGAATCCCATAATTCAGCTTCTCTACTAAATAACATTTTATTGTTTTGGTATCATTATCCCATCAGATATGGGAAACTGTTTTTGTCTGACATCTTTGTGATTATATGAGGAGCCCTGTTTCACTACAATCATACAAGTTTTATACAGTTGAGGATAGTAAGAAACTTGGAGTATTATTGGTAAACTTGCCTAACATAAATCAAAAGTCACAAAGGGAGCAGTCATGGACAGTGACAGAGCACTGTGCTTACAGAGTTATGGCACCAATGATTTCTATACTTTAAAGGAAAGAAATTGTTACACACACTGACATCTTAAAGCATGTATTTTTTTTAGCCGATAAAAATAAGAATTACTTTTGCCAGTGACATCCATTTTAAATAATGCTTCTGTACTTTAATTCAAAAAAACATAAGATAATTTAAATACATCAAAGTTCTGTCCATGTCCTTTAACTGCATAGTCAGTCCCTGTCCTGAACTCTTAAATGTTGGTTATAACTTACTGATAGAATTTAGAAATTTTCAAAAGGCTCTCAAAATGAAATGACTTATCATTCATTTTTAACTTTAAAAAAAGCTAGGTTACACAACAAGATTTTTTTGAAATGAAGTTAATAAAACAAGGTATTTTACATAAGATACACAATGGGGACTAGCTAAGAAGGGAGTAAGACATAAGAGTAGGGAACCATATATTGCCAGATTTCAAAACTCATTGCTATGATTAGGATCTGGCAAACCCTCCATGTTTATTAATTATGTCTTAATGAAGACAACTGCTTTCCTTTTTATTTCAGGAAAGTGATACATATTTTCCTCAGAAAGGTTTGCACTAGGAACTTCATTTTTTTCTTGTTTTTATAATAACTTAATGTCATCCAAATAGCATCAATAGTAATACAACCTTATTTTTTATGCCATTGTACCTTGTACAAAAATTGAACAAGAAAGTAATTTTCCACATTATATAGAGTAATTGTATATTTAGAATTAAAGTAGGAATATTAAATATTTAGCATAGCAATTCT